TCTGAATGAGTGGCAGATGGTTGTACTCATATTTTTTACTGATAATTCTGTCAGCTTTATCTCGAGGAAAATTAATTACTAACGACTATATATATATATATCTTCTCTATTCCAATATTTATAAAGTATTTTTCTCAAACAAAATGAGTTTATCTCACTTTGATCACATAACGGTGGATTCAAATAGGGTGACGTGTCCTTCAAAGAATTCTTCAGAATCCTCGACATTTTAATATTCCAAATGAAAAGATTCTGCCTTCATTCTGGACGTTAAGGAATCCCCTCGAATTGAGTACAGAAATACCTGAATGACTGACAGATAATTTCCCCACTCATACATTTTCCAATATTTTCCGGTGAGGTGAATTAATTTCTGACAATGACATGAATTCTTAAGTCTTCTTCAATACTCCCATCTCCCAAGATTTCCTCCAAGAGGGTTTTCCCTGATTATTTTTTAAAGAAAGGATTTACTCTCTTGTCTGTTGTTTGACAGACTTGAGTTAAATGAAATGAATCTTCTATTGCCGGCATTATCTTCTTGCAATTAAGGAAAAAATATCTTACCGTGATCGAAATGCTTCTCGTAGTCAGCCTCACTCCATTGTGTCTCGTGTGTTGTTGTTGCATCGTGTTGTGGAGAACGAGGAAGAATACTCGTTGATCTAACAATGAGTGACGAGCAACGCAACGATAACTCAAGTGCATCCAGCCAGCATTTTCCAGCTGCCTGAGATGGAGCGCGAAATATTAAATAGGAGGTTGGTAGTGGTTGCACAACAGCGCCTAAAAATAAATCATTTATATTGCCATCTCCAAGTTGATTGTGTCCTCCATTGATTTACCAATAGCTTCCTTCTCCGGACCCCTCGGCGCCCAAATCGATTGTTCGAGTGGATGAAACAGTTTGAAACAGAAACCATCCTTCTTACTTGGTCGTTCGATCACTTGGCAGATGTTTAGGAGGACTGTTCCAACCCAGTGATTGCTCTGCAATAGTTTACATTCGAAAGGGGGGAATAAATCATGAGTTATTTGCCTCGGCAAATGGGTCAGTTTACCCAAGTGCATCATAAATTCACATCACAAATTGCCAAACAATCAATACGTGATTGAAAAATAAGATGAAGATAAAAATTTCAGACATTTATCATATTTATCATATTTATATTTAGATAATTTATCAAAATAACTTATAATAATGTCTAATTAATTATTTTCTCCATACCTTTATTTTTGGACTCTTGTAGAGTAATAGCAGCCCTGGCTTCAGGATGCACCAGAGTTTTGTCCAGCTCTTGAGAGTTCCACGTACCTTCAACCAGTCACTCATTACAACAACTGTGGGATCCTTCAGAGAACTCAGCAGTTCGTTTGCAACTCGTTTCTTCTCGATTCGATAGTTCTTTCGTTGTGCTTTGTAAGATTCCTTTCGTGTTAGCTTACAGGAGTCGGCCTGTTCAATTTTTATTGACGGTTAATAATTCAATTCAGGGACATACGAATGCCGAACTATCAACTTCGAATAATTTATTCACCTTATCCGAAGCGGAATCCAATTTCAAATTGCTCTCCACCATCGCCGAAAGCCCTAAAACATTATCAAATCATTGATAAAGTACTGAGAAGTGTACAATCAGCCGAACTGAGTCGATACCTTACCAGTGGCATCTGAAGCTATAGAATGGCCTCAAAAAAAAAAAATAGATATCTCATAATTATCCCCGAAAGTGCAGATAGCCTTTCAAAATTCCAGCGTAAACACAATGAAGACATGATGCGTATTCATTAAAATGATTCAGTAAGCAATTGGATGTAACGAAATTGATGGATAAATATGTAATTATTTGAAGCCATACTTTAAATGCCAATGGGTACAGTAAAAATGGCTCGTAGCGTAGCATTGTAACACCAACAGAAAATACTAAAGTTCTGGTTGAAAAAAAAAAATACCTGGAGAAAGCGGAGGAGCACCTGAGGCGAGATTAACGTTAGCTGTGAGTGATTCTGACGATGGTAGCTTGGACAATTGGGCTGGTTGTGCATGGACACTTCCCTGACGAGGCCGTCGATCATCTCCAGGCGCTACATTATTTTTTTCTCATTCTTTTTATCACGAATTTATGATTTATCTTCTAACAACTCTTAGATACTATTCGACATCAATTTTTCACGTGACTCTTTTAATCCTTGACATCGTAAAAGTCTTACCTCTTTTACCAGTCAATTTAATCCATCTACCCATCACACAGATATTTCATTAATCAATTCATGCATGAGATGATATCGAAACTAAAGCCGATATTTTCATCCTCAAAAAAAAAGTAATGACGAAATAATATGGAAAAGCTCCATTCCCAAAATGAAGTGCTGTATTGGAAATATAATTAATGCCATCTCTTTGAGAGTATAAATAATAATAAGTAATAAATGAAGCAGGTGGATTTGACCAGTAATTCAGACAGAGCGATCCCCTCCTATAATTTATCCTCGAACACCCACTTGCCCATGGCTATCACAACGCACTGAGGTAAAGAACACGTCAAGTGAGGATAATAAACAGGTATAATAAAATGTTTTCAGTGTCTAGGGTCAGTCAATATTGATTTCCCAGTATCATCAGCCCAACAAGTAAAGTTTCTGTGCCAAGTCGATTCATATTAATGAACTCGGTTGTTGCAACGTATTAAACAAGGTTGATAATTTTCTCCTCAATAATCATCAAGGATACCCCCCATGTGGCATTGAAAAGAGATATTATTTCGTTCCCTCCCCTTCAAATTCCTCAATTTTAAATCACAATAATAAAAGGGATCATGCAATAGCACCTGCATTTCATCCCACTAATTATCTCCTACAGTCCGACTGCATGCAGACCTCAAAATCAACATTATCATGATTGTAAAGATCGCGTTAGTGACGCAGTTGAGGGAATTGTCGCGTCATTCTCGATTACACGTACTTCTGTTAACAAACTTTTTACGTTTTATTATTGATACTGACCCCCACCGTAATTTCAAGTTTAAAAATTCAGTAACAAAAGCCTGGATTTTTATTTTCTATTCATTATTTTATCCATTCCAACAATCATCTATGACACTATCAGCGTCGGTTATCACTCAACAAAAACGAGAAAACGAGAAAACGAGAAAACGAGAAAACGAGAAAACGAGAAAACTCGAGATCTGGTAATAAATCCACAGAAAAGTACATGAATGGAGTTGTAATTCACGAGATAATAATAACAAGTATAATAGCGCAGTATCAATCACAAAAGTTGTGTCGAATGAGAAAAACATGTGCAATGATGGTGGAACAATGACAGACATGGAGAATAAATAAATAATCGAGTACTTACGATTGCTGAGGGACCGACTGACGCCTGGTGGTGTCATCGTCTTCATGGGCTCGGCATTGTGACCAGTGGAAACAGACTGTGACTCGGACGAGGGCCTCTGTCGTTCGCCAGGAACCATTATCGGTTGAGAGCTCATTTTCTAATCCAACAGTGTAAAAATAAACTAATCATTCAGACTGGACATATCTCAATTCCCTCATCTCCAGCACGACCAACCACATCATCTACCCTAAAAGCCCAGGAAATATCACGAATGGATAATCAATTCCAAGGATGCAGAGACTAGATACATGACAATAAATTATCAAACAAGTACGACGTAAGATGCACTTTTCTTGTGCAAAAAAAAAATACTGGGGATGTGTCCCTGGGCCGCAATGCGGTAGAGACAGATAGGCACAGGTAGACCCAGGTAGACACAGGTAGAGGCAGATCGAGGTAGTCAGAGGTATCTGTCAAAATTTTCAGTAAAAATGGAGTAAATTATTTATAAAAAAAAAAAAAACACTCACCAGATCTGGAAATGACGACCTCCAGACAATCTCCACCGATTAGTCCCTCATTCACACGTTAACTCCGTTAGATTGGTCGACAATCCCACAAACACATGTGGGAATATTTTTTTTATCTCTAGAGTAATTACGTTGACCTCAAGTATCGAGTCTGGTTGTTCATGTTTCACAGATGCTGGGGAATAGTGAAAGATTCCCGGGAACAGGGAGGCACTCACCTTGCACCACTTCACTCTGGGGTTAATATTGCTCTCAGTTTATTGGAAATTAGTCGTTAAACGAGGAATATATTTAATTCACGGGTTAATATTGACTTGGACACATGTTGTAATACGTGTAGTAGTGTTAGCATGACGCACAATTGATCAGTGCCTGAGGAGAAGCACGAATACGCCGGCTCCCCACTTTATTTTTCACTTTTTTTCTCAGGTTTTTTTTTATCCTCGTTGCTCTTGCGTGTAGAATTGTCGAGGTACAACCGCTGATTCTGACACATGAGGGCGTTGCAACTCGCTCCAAATCCAATCTTATGGCACTCGTCGTTGTTGGCGCCACGAGGTCCATAAAAAAATTTATATCACTGGTAATCGATTATGCACATCGACGATGCACCATTTTTCACTTTATTTCAATATTTTATTCCATGGGGTAATTATACTTGATTATTCCGTTATTATTTTGTGAGGTGGGATGTTTTGCTATTTCTCATGAAAATCAATTCGTGTTTGCAGGGTCGATTATCGCGATATCGCGAATATCAGATGTACCTTTTTTTGATGTTTTTTATCTCTTCTGGACTTTTCATGATGTCATTGTTGATGACTGAGGGCATTCTGGTGGCGATTGGTATGCTAGGATGGGTGCATTGTTTTTTGTTGGTGAGAATTGAGTTGGCAAGGATTAATTCATATGGAGGATTAATTAATATGAAGGATTAATTATGATTCATGTTGATGGGGGGTTTTTTTTTTTGAAGGAACACGTCTTGTCCCTGGGTTATAAATTGATGACAGATTTTTTAATTTTTAAATTCTCTGTGGGTGTTGAGATGAATTTTAGGTTTAGGTTTAGAGTTGTTTTTTTCAAGACAGCGGATTTTCCTCGTGAATTTTCTTCGGTAATGAGGAATGAAGCCTTAGGAGAAATTAAAAGTAAAAGGTCTTCAAACTTCAAGAAAACGTAATCCCATATTGGGGATTAGACTGACTTTGCAAGTGAGTGTTTTTTATTTATGTTCAGTGGTGAAATGTTTGAAACGTTGCGCATGAGATAATGGAAATAACAGAAATCTGAATTACAAATTTATGGGGATTTTGGTGGAGTCGATTGAGGGCTATTGTGGAAAATTATTGGGGCAGATGGATTTGAATTAATTCTGACGTGTGTTGCTATCGATTTTTACTGGCCAGTGGAAAGAGAGGTTTTTCGCTTATCAACGGGAAGTAATCGGGGATTTAAATTTCAATGGATGAGTTTTTTTTTGAATTTCTTCAGTAGGAATCGGAATCACTCTCTTCCTCGCTGGAATTCGTGTACGAGGGTGAGGTTCTTCCTCTGGAAACCAATCTTGTCGATCTCAAACGACGTCCAGGTCTTTTCTGAAGGCAAATTACAGACATGAAGATTCTTTAACAGATTTAACGACAATACAAGCTGTTTTTTTTTGTGAGTACTGTGGGATATTCTTCGGTCGAAAATATTCTGCAAAAAGGAATCGTTGACGGATTGCATATTAGTCATCGTCTCCTTTTCGTGATTTTTTTATTGCCGCATAAAAACCGGCGGGAGATAACGAATTTTTTTTAACACCTTTTATATAGGTCTCACCTTGCTCTACAAAAGAACGTCTCGCTAAAATTTTGTCTGGTATCGTTGTTTCATTTCTAGATGAATTTTAACGGAATATTTCACTTTGCGAAATTTTCGTAGAAATATTTGTAATCTGTTTTATATAAAAATGGGTCACGATATTATTATTGACTATTATTGTCAATAATTAATCAATTGAAGACAATTCTCGTGCTCTTCATTCAAAAATAATAATTTTAATAATTATTTAACTCGTTCTTTTTGAAATTTTTCTTCTATTTCTTTTTTGCAATTTTAATTTGGATCGAGCAAGATGAATTGTTAATTAATTTACTTTGTAATATCTCTCCCAAAATGCAGAAAAATCGGTCTTGTAATTATACGCCTCTTGTCTAAATGTCGATGTGCAGTACGTGTCCTTGCGAAATCTCGACAGGATGCCAATGGAAACCGCATGATCGAGCATGTCCTTCAGCTCGATCTTCAGATCATCGGGATTTTGTTCAATAGGATAGAATCGCTTCAAATGATCGCCGATCATTTTCGAGCTGACCAATGCCCTCCTCTTCTCGAGCTCCTCGACGGCACACCGGAGCATCTCGAGGGTTATCGAACATGATCCTCTGGAATGTCGACCTAGAAACCCTCAAATTCTTTCATAGAATCGTTGAATACCAACGAAAACGAGATTACCTGTCATACTCAATGAATCTCCAGCATTTTTTCATCGCAGAAAATTCACACCGAGGTATCTCCCATCTCTAGATAATTTTCCCGATAAAACGTCAAAAGGGTCTTATCGGTATCGTGCGAAAATAGTTGAGAATCGTGATGCTGTGAGTCATTCTAAAAGAAGGGGACGTCCACCGTGAATGAGAAGGGGAATTCTAAGAAAGAAATCTCCGGAAATTCCTCCCGCCCGGGGAAGACGAAACATGAAATTTCAATAATAATCCGGAATAAAATCACAAAAGGGTACGCAAAAATTCTGAAATACTACATCATGTCACTGATACATAAACTGAAATAGCAGCGAAATTAACAAAATTACTAAAATTGTTCTATAACGTGATCTTTTAAAAAACCAAAATAATTAAAAAAAAATTTTTCCTGGAGCACAGCCCCAGGTGACTTGGGGGTGTCATTCCAAGATATTATGGCATGTGCTCCAGACGAATCCAGTGAATGAAAATTCATCTTAAATTATATAAACTCATATCTCAATGAATTACCAGCTGTTAAATTATCTGGTGTTCTTGGGCGACCGAATTATTAATAAATCCCCTCTTTATATTAATTATCTATTGATGAATTTCATGTTGAATGTCGTAATTGAATGAATTTGACAGTTGAAAAACAGAATTTTCGGAGGCATTTGGAAAAATATCACCTACACAGACGGACCCCACGCAATGTTAGGATTGAAGTTGGTGTGTGGCACGTGGGTGAGGCCTTAAGATACCGAGGGCTACGACAAATGGCAGACTGCCGTCTAAAGTACACTGGAGGAGGCAATGGGATACACCAGTCACAGCGGCGCCTTCTTCATCAGTTTTTATCCGCTCGCTGCGTAGTCTGGACTCAACTCATTCCTCACCAGTTGTATCTGGTTGTATTGTGAAAGTTCAAGTGAATGTGAACATTCATTTTCATTCGTTCATGGGATTTTCCTCAATTACACACTACGTAAGCACAAATACCTCATTCATTACACAACCAATTGTTCGCTTCTCTATTTATTATTATCATTTATCAATTGTTTTCATTCATTTATTATTTATGCTTTCTCTCATTAATTTGTACGCATGTGTCATTCAGACAAAGGAGTATCTCAGATGATTATTCATAAAATAGTGACTCAAGCGTTCGCGCGCCACCGCCAAGTACTCTTTTAATACGTGATTTCAAATGTCGATGGCAATTGCACTTGTGTACATATTATTATGAGCTGTGAGTCATACTCACCAGCTTCTCGTTTACTCGGAAAATTGATACGTTAATCCAAGAATTATTGAGTTGAACAATTTTGCTGGGGGGTTTTCATGTTGTTGTTACTTTCGATTTGATTTTATTGTTGGCGCGCGGCTTCCGGGATTTCTTTTGAATCACTGATTCAATTTGTGACGCAGAAGTGAATTGTTTTTACGTTAATTCCAAACAGTATGGAGGGACAGCAGTATGGATTGAGTAAGTGGGAAAGTCCAAGTATGTGCACACTGGGGTATTGAGAAAAAAACATTCTAAATTGGGTTTTAATGAATGGCAGGCGGCTTTCAGTCTGGCACTGGCTTTTCCCTTTTTAAGGGGTATTTTTGGAGTTCCCCGCCGAGTTCCTGGACTGACGGGATTTTATTTTTACTTGTCATAGGTTTCGAGTGGTTGGGAATTGATGCATTATTGAAATTGTATTTTTAGGGGTCTCAGGGGGCGGATGTGTGTCATCTGGAGATTGGCATGCATCTTC